CGCTGGCGGGAGCCGCGGTCGCCCGGGCCGAGATTGGGGGGGCAAGGCGGGCGACAGAAGGCCGATGCCTCCGTCGCCCGGCCCTCTACAGAATCCACCCCCCAAACCTCCAGGTATTTCCCTCCTTAGAGCTGGCAACCCTACATTCCCCTCAGTGCCTGTTGGTAGGCAACTAAGCTTGGTCCTGTCACCTACTTTGGCCTTTGGGAGAAAACACATTGGGGCCAGTCCTGATAGGGTTGCCAACTCCAGATGGGAAATTCCTGGAGATTTGAGGGATGGAGCCTGAAGAGGGTGAGGTTTGAGGAGGGGTGGGACCTCAGACAGGTACACTGCCATAGACTCCACCCTCCAAACCAGTCAGTCCCACATAGGGAACCATTGTTGCCAATCTCCAGGTGAGGGCTGGAGAGCACTCAGTATTACAACTGTTCTGCAGAAGGGAGGGCAGAAGTCAGCTGAAGTCAAAGGGGCAGATAATGGTAGGTTGGTGGCTAGCTGGGAAGGAGATGGGGTTGCCAACTACATGCTGACAAATTCCTGGGGATTTGAGGGGTGGAGCCTGGAGAGGGTGGGGTTTGCAGAGGGGTGGGACCTCAGACAGGTAGAATGCCATAGACTCCACCCTCCAAACCAGCCATTTTGTCCTGGGTAACAATTGTTGCCAATCTCCAGGTGAGGGCTACAGATTACTCACAATTACAACTGCTCTTCAGGTAGCAGAGATCAGTTCCTCTGTAGAAAACAGTGGACTCTGTCATTATACCCTGCTGAGGTCACCACAGCAAATTGACACTGTTTGCCCAAAGCCAGAGCACTGCCCCAGAGCCTCTTTCTAGATCTCGTTGTATTGCTTTCACAACGGGCTTTACTGCTAGTATGAAATAAGGCAAAGTTTTTCACTAGTAAAGCGTTCAGTATAATGTCATGTGTTTCTCTTCTCATCATGAAGAACGAATTCTATCAAGAGGTAATAGGTTTGAAAATTGAGCATTTGGTCGTTGGTCCACTATCCCTGATTGTGCATGTGTTTACCTGCATTAGTTGTGCCCTAACTTGTGTCTTTATTTCTTTGCCATGTGTTGATCCTGGATAGCAGTGTGTGAACAAAGAACTGGAGAAATTATGTTACTTGTTTGAATGTGTTGATATTTAATCAGACATCCCGAGGAAGTGTCTTACCTGGTACAAAGAGATAGGATCTTTTCTGACATGATTTGTGTGTGTTTTTGGTAGGGAGAGGAATTCTGTTCAACCTCTGAGATTTCTCTCTTTCAAAGAGAGAGGAATTCTGGGCTCAATCCTGAGTTCTTTGAACTTCACAATGCTGGGTGGCTTCCTTCTTAACTCAATGATTCATGGTTTAGTTTCATTTGTTTATTTATTTTATTTATATCCCGCCCTCCCTGCAAAGCAGTCTGAAGCTGAAGTTTAAACCTATAGATTATAACACAAGCCAGGCTTCAAGTGGAAGTGTGTGTTGCACATGAAAGCTTATACCCAGAATAAAACTTGGTTGGCCTTAAAAGTGTCGCTGGACTCTAACTTTGTTCATGAGCCGGGCTTCTTTACCTTTCCTCACAGGAAAGGTGCTCCAACCCCTTGATCATTTTGGTTGCCTTTTCTGTGGTATGAAGGCAGCCACTGTCCCTTGCCAAGACTGCCCATGTCAGTGTGTTTTTCAGTGTGTCAGGGTGAAGAGCGCACTGCAAGAGCAATGGTGTCATTTTCCTTTCCCTGTTACTCATCCTGTTTCTTAAAACACTTTGAGCAGATTTTGGAAGGAAGCAGGGCTATTTTTGGGCAGGAACACACAGGAATGGATTTCTGGCTGGCTCCCAAGTTGGCCACGCCCAGCAGGAACTCATTAGCATAATAGGCCACACCCAACAGCAGGAACTCATTAGGATTGGCTACATTAGGGGTGTGTGGCCTAACATGCAAAGGAGTTCCTGCTATGAAAAAAAGCTCTGGGTTTTGACAACAAACAAGGTAAACAGAATAACAAGCAAAAGGTGGGGGTGGCTGGATGAGCACACTTCTGGTAACATGGGGGTGCGGCTTAATGTGCTAACGAGCTGTGCTGTCAGGGGTGTGACCCAATATGCTAATGAGTTTCTGCTATTGGGTGTGGCCTATTATGCTAATGAGTTCCTGCTGGGCTTTTTCTACAAAAAGAGCCCTGGAAGGAAGTATACGCACTGATGCTTTGAGGCATCTTCATATATTTAATATTGGTCTTCTTACTGCCTCTTCTCAATGCTTCCTGCTGTGCATTGTCGAGGTGAGAGCCTAAGTTAACTTGGTGCTATTTAAGGACATAGCTGCTCACAGTAATAGAATATCAAACATTTCTTCCTAGAGTAAAATGTTTATCAAAAATCATGCTAACCTTGATGTTAGGCCTTTGACCTGTGGGGCTGAAAAAGGTAGAAACTGCCTGTCTAAAATATGAATTGACTTCGCCTTTGCATCATTAGCCCCAGTAACTGGCAGCTGAATAAGTACTGGAGTTCTTTTCATTTCAGAGGAGGACTTCAGCTGGTGTATGAAGCTTTATGCAATTTCCTCAGATCTCTAATTTGATTTGCCAGTTTATCTTGTATTGCAGCCTTGCACGTTCCTGTCGAATCACTTATTGGATTATACATTACTTGCACAGAGCTGAAAGCAGAACCCCTAGGGGCCATTTTTTTCTCATTTTAATTTCACTCAGCGTGTTTTAGCCACGGTAAATTTCTGGAGCTGCGTGCCTTATCTCCGCTCAGGCTTCTGGAGTTTTAATGGCCAGGAGGTTTCAAAAATGCCTTTTCTCCTCCTCCTCCCTTCTCTCAGGTTAATTGGCAGGCTGTATAAGCCTGCAGGAGGAGCCCTTAAAAAAACCAAAATGCTTCTTACACTGAAGTGATCTTGGAATTTGAAAAAAAAATGCACAGGCATATTGCTGATGTTCTTTCCATGTGATGTTTACACAACCAGAGTTCTTCACATAAATAAGTAGTACAGACCACATTGGGTGGGGTGGGGGGGCTATCTTGTGGAAAGCAGAAACCTTTGAAATGACCTAGTACATATTATGGGTTACTGCCCTCTCCTCCCTCCACAGTGAGGAAACCCACAACCATTCTGATTGAGTATGGATATCATGGAAGGGATCTTAATAAATTTAGTCTTTCCCCCCCCCAACTGAGGGTATTCCTCACTTCTCCTTTCAGTAGAACAGGCCAGTGGCTTGGAATTGGGTTAACATACTGAATGGGTGATGGGCACATGAGTGCACTCCTTGCTCCAGGGCACTGGTTGTGCAGTGTGTTGTGTTTATTTATTTTTTGACACATATTTATTTATTCATTCAATTTTTATCCCGCCCTCCACACCAAAGGCAGGCTCAGGGCGGCTTACAGTAAAATGTTAAAAATATATTAAAACACATGGGCTTATACAATACAGCATCATAAGTACAAAACATACCAATTCATAGTACAAAATAAAATAAAGTGCTGGTGGCGATGGTGTCTCGGAGGCCATGATGGATTATGCCCAAAAATGGCCCCCATCATCTGGCATAGCTGGCTATTAATCCAATCTGTATTTTAAGGGCAACAGGTCCATTTGAAAAAGTTCCAAAAATGGGATGCCTGCACAATCCTGTTTGGCAGTCCCCAGAAATTCTTGCCCTGTTGACCAGAGCATAGCTGGTTTTGGTGGCAGCTTCTCCTTTCTCCATTCTCCTTTGTTTATCTCTGTCAGAGGGGATGAAAGAGAAGTGCCACTTTCTGACACAGAGAGGCAGAATGAAGGGAATAGCAACTGTGAGAGAAGCCATGCCAATTGCCTGAGAGCCCTGCTGTGTTTCTCAGCTTGGAAATGCTGCAACTTGATGTCCTAGCTACCAGAAGCCAAGACTTCCTTGCTACCACGTTAGGATGAGTGTCTAGCTTTCTGCACTTCTTCCCCCTTCAACAGCTAGTAACTCATCAGAAAGTGTGATCTGCCCACATGGCCAGTGGCAATGTTTGCTGAGAGGCATGGGCAGGACAGGTAATTTGCTGCTTGAGTGCTCAGTTACAGGATGTTGCCAGTGAATGGCGAACAGCTAAATTGTACCACTGTAGTTAAAGATTTGCTTTTCAGTTTAAACTGAGATGGGAAAATCAGCCCCGACGCCATCAGTTTTTCTAATTTTTCTCGTCTCCCTAGTTACTATTTTCCTTAGGCTTCCATTTCCTATACCTTTCTTTTCTCAGATTCCCTGTTACACAGTTCAAGGCCTCTTTCCTTTAGCCATTTGCCATCACAAGAGGGTACATATAGATGGCTACTTAGCATATGCTCAGGCTCCATTAAATTATTGCCCAAATAAATCAAAAGCATAATTAGTCTAATTTCAACTACATCTCACACATAATAATTTTTGACAGGAGTCAAGCACTCTGCAGGTATTCAGCTATTGTTAAGTTCTGTGGGATGGGGGAGGCAGTAATACTTGGCTGTGTGGTCCTTTGAAATAGCTGGGAGTTCTGCGATGTATGTGGAAGGCCTGCATCCAGAGCAGCATTTCCATAGTTGCAGCAAGGACTTCCATTCATGTAGTGTGATTTCCCCTCTCCCCCACCTTGTCTAACAACTTGAAATCCTGCCCTTCCCCCACCAACCTGTTCCTGAGGATCTTCTCTCCCTGAACAAGATGTGGAGAGCATCTTGGACTGTCGTAGGAGGGGAGGTTGCAGGAAAATTACGCTCTGCAGGTCTTCGTATTCATGGAAACGTTTAGCTTGCTCCAAGTAACTCTATTGCTGTTCCTTTTGCCAATGATTATCATGTAGTTGAGGTCTCTGGCTTTTCATTATTGGCTTTTTTGTTAATATGAAAAATGCTTATGGTTCTGTTTTTCAAATGCAACTTTAAATGATGAGTTTCCCTGAACTTGTGTTGAGTGTTAGTCTCACTATTGAAACACTGCTGGAAACTTTATTTTCATATTTATGGAAAGATTACATGCAGCCATAATTTGTTCAAGGCTTGATTAAGTCAGGCATTCTTTTATCAATACTTATTTCAATAAGTCCAGTCATTAATAATAATAAACAGATCTGTATTTGATATCACAGTGTGGTGTCTTGTCTTCCTTCATAGTTTCAGCTGTGTATGATTCCACACTGAACTTTAGAAATAATGAAAATCCAACTTTGCTGGGAGTTTTAAATGGGAAAAAGTATCATGCAGACTTATATGTAAGGCAAGTATATTCACCTTACTCTTTTGTTTCTTAATCTAAAAGCATGATGAATGTTGATGGTAACTAAAATAGGTCATGATACATTTCAGATTAACAAATACATTTTGCAGTGGATTTGACTGATTTATGTGTCTTTTTGTTTGAAGAAGTATGTATGATAATCAGGGGTCTTTTGGGGCCAGAGTGCGCCGGAGCACTGCTCCAGCAGCCCATGTGGCAGCAAGCCCCGCCCCCAGCTCCGAAAGTGCTGCAGCCGAGGCCCGGAGAGCCCCGCCGCCAGGTCCCCTGGGCCTGCGCAGAAGCGCTGCGGCTCGGGGGAGTTCCGGAGAGCCCCACTGCCGGGTCCCCCGGGCCCGCGCAGAAGTGCTGCGGCTGGGGGGCACTCAGAGAGCGCCACCTCCAGGTCCCCCGGGCCCACACAGAAGCACTGTGGTTTGGGGGAGGCCCAGAGAGTCCCACCACCGTGTCCCCCAGTCTCGTGTAGAAATGCTGCGGCTAGGGGACAGCTGGAGAGTGCTGCCGCTGGGTCCCCCGGGCTCATGCAGAACTGCTGCAGCTTGGGGGAGGCCCGGTGAGCCCTGCCGCCGGGTCCCCTGGCCATGTGCAGAAATGCTGCAGATGGGGGACACAGGGAGAGCGCTGCTGCTGGGTCCAAACCCCTTCTCTCTTCGCTCCCCCCCCCGCAGGCCAGCTGGGGAAGGGAAAGGGAGACTTTTGAAGATGCCTCCCCCTTTTGCTTCCCTTTCTGACATCACTTCCAGTGATCAGGGACATGGCATATGCTAATAGCCTAGTAGCTCATTAGCATACCAAAAGACTCCTTCCTTCCTTCCTTCCTTCCTTCCTTCCTTCCTTCCTTCTCTCTACTCTCTCTCTTTCCTTCCCTCTTTCTTCCTTCTGTGGCCCAACCCTAGTGAGAAGGGGTTTAAAGTTTAAACCCCTTCTCTCTTCGTCCCCCCCCCACAGGCCAGCTGGGGAAGGGAAGGGGAGGCTTTTGAAGATGCCTCCCCCCTTTTGCTTCCCCTTCTGACATCACTTCCAGTTATGTCAGGGGGCGTGGCATATGCTAATAGCCTAGTAGCTCATTAGCATACCATATACTAATGAGCTCCTGCATCTCTTTTTCTACGAAAAGACCCCTGATGAAAATTATATAACTTTTCTGTAAATGCTTTTTCAAAGTGACTTACAAAAATGGTATCAATAAATAAGAGCAAAAATCATTAAAAAAAACAGCTGCAGATGAAAAATAATTCTCCCCACTGCAGTCATAACTGAATTATACAATGGACCAACTGGAAAATAAAGTGAAAATGCTTCCCCAAATTTTAAGTTTTAATGCAGATATGTCCCCAAGCATTGTCCAGTAGTACCTTCATTTTTCTTAGATTGTTGCTGTAAATGAGAGTGGTCAAATATAGGGTGGCTTTGTTTTCACAGTCCTATCTCATCTCTTGTCATTTGTAGGAGGATTCCATTAGAGGAAGTCCCAGAAGATGAGCAGTAATGTTCTAACTGGATTCACAAACTCTATCAAGAGAAGGTTGGTTCATTGTTCAGTGGGTTTTGTTATGATTATAGTTCTGTATGTAGGCCGCAGTTTTGTTTTTCCTGGAATGTTTATATTAACGTATGTTTTTCAAGTGCGCTCAGAAAGCAGCATTCATTAGAAATTCCTTGTGTGTAGAAAGAGAATGATGGATAGGAAGAGCAAAAGAGATGGTGCTTTGGTTCCTTAGCAGGATATGTACTTCCTACTATTATTGACATGCTGCCTGTGGTAGGTGCAAGACATTATGTGTAAGACACTATATGGAATTGCAGCATCCCCTTTTACCCTTTTCAAACCTACTGTTCCTTTCTAAGGATAAATTTGTATTTTCAGACTATCAACTATCATGTGTTTCAAGTTAGTTAGTACCCATCATGCTAGGAGTAGCAGCTGACATCTAGAGAACTACCTGCTGCATTACACCAGAACTTAGATCGTGGGCTAGGAAGACAGGGGTTTAGAGCCCTGCTCAGCTATAAAATACATTGTGTAGTTAGGGTTGCCAAATCGACTTACCTCTGCCGGCGGGGGACTCTATGTTTTCCCCTCAAATGGCTGTGCCCCGCCCCCAGCATTCCCGGCGTCATGACATCACTTCCCTGTGACGTGCACGGAGGGGTGGGGTTTCCCCCGGGGCCCGATTCCGCGGGGGCAGAAATCGGGCCTCCAAAGCGGGGGGAAATCCGCCCCCCCGGGGGGATTTGGCAGCCCTATGTGTAGTGTTGGGCTATTCATTCTCCCTATCTCCCCAGGTTGTTTCAAGGATAAAGTGGTGGTGGGGGGACCCTCAAGTACACTCCTCTCCTTGGTAAAATTGTTCCAGAATAAAAGGAAACAATTAAAAAACAGAAAGCTTTAGAAAAATTCTGAGGAGATTTTTTTTACTCCAAAGACCTCCCATTTGACATGTACCTTTGGGGTAGCTGTTTGAAAAAATCTTCAGTTAGAGACTTAAGCCTTTCTACACGTGACAGAATTCAGACTGTATACAGACCTGTAGAAGACTTCGCCAGCGATCATCTGACTCATGGGACTGATGTACTTTCATCACTAGGGAGCATTGGCCTCGCGTCAGCAAACCTCTCTATTTCTTGACAGAGAACCATTTGGGAATAGCCATAATCTGCAGAGGATTACAGCAAACTCTAATCCACAAAAGTTTATACTAGAGTAAAAACTTGTTCATCTTTAAGGTGCCACAAGACTCCTCTTTGTTGTATCTATGTCTGGGTGTACCTTGTATATTGACCATAGGAAGCTGCTATATTCCAAGTCGGAACTCTGATGACTCTAGCTCAGCCTTGTCTCTTCAGACCAGCAGCAGCTCTTCAGGTTTTTTCTTGTTACTTGCTCAGTAAGATTTATATACTATCATTTATTCCTATAAAGCATTTATTAGCCACCTTTCTCCCCTACAGGAACTCAAGGTGGCTTACATCAAGAATAAAATACATAAAACCATTTATTCAAAATCAATCATTTAAAATTGCCAATAGACAGAAGAACTAAAAATAAAATTAATTAAATGCCATCCTGAATAAAATAGTCTTCAGTTGCCATCTGAAGGTTGAGAGTGAGGGAGTCAGGCACACTTCCCTGGATAGTCTGTTCTATAATCATGGGGCCACCACTCAACAGGTGCTTTCATGTACCCACTAAGCAAGTTCCTCTGGTCAAGGGGGGCAGTCAAGAGGGTTCCTGTGGTCTTAGTACCTGGGCAGCAAAGTATAGTATAGGGGATGACATCCTTCTAATACCCCAGTGCCAAGGCATGTAGGGCCTTTAAAGGTCGAAACCAATACCTTGAATTGTGCTTGAGAGCAGATCAGTAGCCAGTGCAAGTGCTGTAATACTAGGGTCACATGATCCCAATAACTGGCCCTGACCAGCAAACCAGCCACAGCATTCTGAACTAGCTGCAGCTTTTGAACACTCATCAGGGGTAGCTTCAAGTAGAGTGCATTGCAGTAGTCTAGTTTAGATGCAACTAAGGCACGGGTCATTGTGGCAATATCAGACTAAGCTGGGTGAAAGCAAACCCAAGCTGCAACCCTGACTCTTCAAGGGGAGTATAGCCCCATCCAAGATAGGGGAGATCTCAAGTCCCTGGTCTGGCATTCTGCTAACCCAGAGAACCTCTGTCTTGTCAGGAGTAAGTTTCATCTTGTTCACCCTTACCCAGCTGATTACTGACTTCAAGCACTGGTTTAGAACATCAAAAGCTTCCTCATAATTAGGTGGAAAAGAAAGGTAGAGCTAGATATCATCTGCATATTGGTGACACCAGAGCCCAGACCTCTTGATGACCTCTCCTGCTGGCTTCATGTAGATGTTAACTAGCATGGGGGATAGGACTGAATCCTGAGGAAGTCCACAGGCCAACAGCCAAGGGGCAGAGCAGAAATCCCCTAGACCACTTTCTGGGACTGACCTCCCAGATAGGACTTGAACCACTGTAATGCAGTGCCCCTTATTCACAGTAGACTTTATAATGCTACCTGTTGCCAAATTAGATGCTCTTCAACCGGTAGATTGACACCTAAGATCTCTACCAATAAAGGAGTCAAGCAGGGATGTGTACTTGCGCCCCTACTTTTTAATTTTTTCCTGCAGGATCTGGCCCCATTCTTAAATCAAGTAGATGGGCATTGTCCTAAGCTAGGCTCCGCCCATATACCAATCTTATTATATGCAGATGACGCGGTTATGCTTTCTTGCACTCGAGTGGGTTTACTCCGACTTCTAAACAGCTGTCAGGACTACTGTAAGATCAATCACTTAGAACTAAATTATGAGAAATCAAAAATCGTAGTTTTCTCAAATTCCAGGAAGCAATTCACATGGAGGATTGGCGATCATAAGCTTGAACAAGTAAGGCACTTCAGGTATCTAGGTCTCCACTGTCATGCCACCGCAACTTGGACTTTTCAGCGCAGAATAGCAATTAACAAACTTAAGGCAAATATCAATGCCCTTTTACGGTTTTACTTTCCAGAGAGAGGAAACCAATTTGTGCCATCTGTGTTAAAAGTATTTAATATAAAAATAGAGCCCCAACTCCTCTACGAAGTTCCTGTCTGGATTGAGGCAGTTAATAAGTCAATTGAACAGGTGCGTTCAGGCTTTTTGCAGAAGGTACTAGGTGTCCCACCTTGTGCCCTGTATGAAGCCCTCTGTTTGGAATGTGGTCAAAGCCTTTTGTCTACGAAGTCGTGGCTTATAACTTTCAAATATTGGGCCCGATTGCACTATAACTCTGACCAGCTATAGCTACCAGATGTTAACTGAGACCGAGGGTTCACCCTGCCTTGCCATTATAGAAAAAAAAACCTGAGTTCCTTGAATATCTCTCTTGAGTCGATGCTGATGCTCTCGGAAACGGAGGTGTTTCTCAAAATAAGGAGCAGGTTACTGGAGACAGAGTTGTGGAACCTGTACAATGCAGCTAATAAGACTTGTTCTCCTCTGAACCATGGGATATTTCCCATTGTAGGATGCTTGCCCAGTTATTTCTTTCAACTGCAACCTCCAAAATTGCGCAGAATTTTTACACTGGCCAGGCTTAATGTTTTACCCTCGGCAATTTTATTCGGAAGATTCCAGGGTATCCCCTTTGCCAATAGACTCTGACTAGGTACAGGTCAAACTATTGAAACAGTGTACCACGTACTGTGTGAGTGTAGTTATTATTCTGGTATCAGGCAATGTATTTTATCACCAGTCTTGGGTAGTGTTTCAGACTTTCCTAGGCTGAATAAACTATTATTTCTTTTAAATAGCACAGAGGAAAACATAGTTGAACTTGTGGCAAAGTTTTAACTGGCTGCTGCTTCTATGCGTAGTAAAATTCTGTAAGTGGTCAACGCAGGGTATCTTTTAACAGAAATTGTATTTCATTTCTGTGAAATGCCAATAAAGGAATTGCTGTGGACTATTCACAGTACCAAGAGGTGGCCCAGTAAAATAACATGATAGTATTGAAGGCTGATGAGAGATCCAGCAGAACTAGTAGGGTCACACTTCCCCTGTCTATTTCTTAGTAGAGGTCATCACCCAAGGCGACCAAAGCAGTCTCTTTTCCAAATCTTGACCTAAAACCAGATTGAAATGGGTACAGAAAGATCCCTTAACCAGAGATACCAAAAACTGAATGTGGGATTTTTAACATGTGGAGCAGATGCTCTGACACTATACCACATTTTTCTTTGCTGCTAAACTCTACCCCCACCTTTGATATCACTCCTGTGATAGTAAATGGAGACTGAAATGTTTATACCCTTTTTGTTGCTCCGATCAGGACTCCTTTCAAGAGGAATACTACAGAACAGGGGTCTATCCCGGCACTCCAATAGTGCCACCTCGGCGTCCATGGACTCTGTTGAATTCGTTTTTCTGGACCTTATTGCTGCTATATCCTTTATTCAGACTACTGATCGACATGATCAGTAGTGGCTCATCACTGACTCTCGCTTCTTTCGCCTTTGTTTTCATTGCAGGTAAGTTTTCTGCAAGCAGCCTATATCCAGGAATTAAGGAAAAGGAAAGATCCCCCCCCCCTCCATCCACTCTGCCTTTAGCTTAGCTTGTAGAGATACACATATCCATTTGGAATGGGTAGTGGATAGTCAGGGAGGAGTGTCATGTATTAGTTGCTCAGCTGATTGCTCTGGAACTCACTTAGGTGCACTTTGTCAGGTTTACAGAACTGAATTAGAAAGTGCCTGTGGAAAAATACATTTAAGAACTTCCACTTTTGCTTTCAGTCAAGGGGGAAAAAGAAGGGAACATAGTGAAGCTATCCAGTTTGAGCTCCAGTTTGCTGTGACATCAAAAAGTGGGCTCCTTGACAAACTGGACAAACTGGACCACATTTGCATGTCATGGAAAATTAGAGCTTGATCAAGCCATGACATTCTTAATTCAGCTCCAGGTGAGAGGAAGGAGATAAAGGAGACCATGAGCAAGACAGCAAGATGTGTTCGTGCCCAATCACAAATTAATTACAGCTTGTTGCAGCTGAAGTCTTGGGGATTAACTTGGTGGTAAGAGGAAGGAGGTTTAGGGCACTGCACTGTTGTTAGTGCTGCCCAAAATGCAAACCCATGGCACTGTCATTTAGTGCTACAGTGCTTCCCCAAAACGACTCCCTGACTTTTTCAGTAGGCAGCCACAGTTGCTTTAATTAAGTAGCATATGGAACTGGGGATTCACTACAAGACTCCCCAAACTATCAGTTTTGTTAAAGCTGATGTGCCAAGTGCAATGGGACTTATAAAGAATATTCTGTGTAAAGATCAATTCAGATATTTAATGGTATTTCCATTCTTTAGTCGTACTCTCAGTATTTTTTCCATTTGGAGGGAATGCATGTCGAACCATCCAGATTCTTTACTGAGGATGTGCTTCCACTGGAACTCAGGGGGCCTGTACTTATTTTACCAGTCAGCAGCACTTTATTCATTAAATATGTCAAATTACTATTGAATACAGAAGACCTATTGCCTTGTATCATGGATCTTTTGCGTGCTTTCCTTCTGAAGAGCTGGATTTACTGTGCTTAGTCACAAGCCAAAGTATCTCAAATGCAGAGAACTACTTTTGAAAAAAAAAGGGAAATAATAATTCTTGTACCAGATGAGCCTAATAAATTATATTCTACTTTTGTTGCTCACATTTCTAGCAAGTCATATTCATTGTCACTAACTGTAGTGATTTCTGGGGCTGATGTAGGAATGACAGTGCACATCCCTTAATTATAGTAGGAGACTGAGAATGGGCCATAGGACCTTGCATTCCTTTTGTCCATTAATAACACAAACGTACCTTTTTTGGGTGGTAAGGGACCACGGGTAACTTGTCCTGGAACTGTGGTTAAGGATCGGGCAATGTTATATTTGCAGTAGCCTTGGTCTCACAACTTTGTATAGTCTGAGTCAGACTGGTAGATAGAACGAGTCCAAGTATGTTGGTCGGAACTAGAAAGCTTTGTCCATTTTGCCCTCCTGCATAAAACAGGAGAGAAGGGCCCAGCCAATTACCAGTGGAGTTCCAGGCATCACATTTGCTGGGGTCGAAGGGATAGCTGAGGGAAAGGGAATGCCAGGAAATATTTGCTGGCCCCTTCCAGTGGTGGTTGGTTGGATACAACACATTTTGTGTTTGTTTTTCATTTCTAAAAGGATTCTTTGCAAAGATTATCAACATATTTTATAATAAACAGATGAATGCTTGGGCATCATTGGTCCATGAGTGGTGCTGATAGGGTGGGGTGTATGCATCATCTTAAGTGAGTGAGTTCCTTGGTAATAGTCAATATGGAGGAATTAGTCTGACCGTTGCCTAAGGCATATATTTTGTTAGTCGACACCTTCTATCATTTTGCTTTAGCTCTTGAATTTAGCTACAGTGAATCCCTCTATCATCTGAGCAACTGAAGTCTCATCAGTTGGAACTGGAAGGGGGGGATAAAGATATAGAAGTCATTCTTGTTACCATAAAGTTTTAAGTAGTGTGTTTAATAACAAAAAATAAACTTCTGTATGAATGCAATCCTGCTTTTTATGAATCTTTTTAATTCCTGGTTGGCATCTAGTTATTTGCCTATGGATGTGAGGTATCTTCCTTAAAGTGCAAGTCTCTCTTCCCCTTTATAATGTCTGCCATCAGTTTCTTTCCCTTTACTTCATAGTAGTGAGGTCTCCTCCCTCCATTCCTGTTCTCCCTCTCGCCTGTTTCTTTACAAATTCTGCGCACGTGAAGTCATTGTTTAGCAACAGGAGGCGCATGTTGTTGCTTCCTGGAAGTCGGCTTGCAAGCTCATAGACCAGCAACTGACATCATGTTTTGCTGCTTGCTCTTTTGCATACTTGGGGTGCTTCAGGTAATGCTACAAAGGAGAGTGGGGTGTGTAGATGGAAAGTGCAGTAGGTGAATGAGGGAGGGAGGCCAGCTGAGGAAGTCCCCTTGCACCCCTCTCTGGTGTGAGGTTTAGAATTTTATCTGTCAGTTTCAAGTCTTAATACATGCTGTATAATGCAGATGTTTCCAAGGGCATGGAAAATTCCATTATGTGGAGAAAAGAAATGAAGTGGGGAAAGCTCAGACTAAACTCCATAAGGTGGTATATGTAAGTTCCCTGGTTGTTTTCACTGTGACATGAAATGAATAAGAGAATTTGGCCTATTGCTTTGATACAGAAGAGTCTTTGTTATCGCTAAGATGATTCTGAAGCCTGTTAGCATATCCTTGATGGCCGGTAGATGTCTGTTCTAGGCGATTCATTGTTTTGCATTCATACAGATCTGTTTTAATTTTCAAACTCTCAAAAGCAGTTATCAAGACTGCAGAATCCTGGCTTGCTGATCTCCTTTAAAAGTTAATGTCCCATTTCATAATCCTCTGACCTAGATTACTCAGTTTACAGTCATGGAGCATTTTCCTGTATCAGCAAATGGCAATTAGCAGAATGTGTCCTTGAAGATATTTTGTTTAATTCATGGCTTTGCAGCCTTGTAAAACAGAGGGTTGTTTCAGTTGGCACGCCACCTCTGCAATGCATATAGCCAGTAGGGCTTCCTGATTCTGCACTAGTTTACAAGACTTGCTTCACTTTGTCAAACCAGAGATTTCAGGATTTGGTCATCCCATCCCTTTCCATTCAGGTAAGACATCCAGTATAATTCGAAAGCATCCTGTAAGAAATTGGAGTGCATTTCTCTTGCCTGTAATGCTCAGTTCTTTTTCAAACCATCTTCTTTCTTTCTCAAGGTGCCTCTAATCTTACCTGTCATATTCTGTAGTAATGTTTGGTATCCATGCTATATCAATCCCTGGTCTCAACCTCTATTAGGAGTCAGTAGTTAGCATTTTGTTTACTACAATAGCATTAGTACAACAAATTGTCATATTATATCATAATTATAAAAAATAGTGAACAAGTGTCTACCTGTAGCTGTTCATGAAGGTGGACTCTTGAAGGCTATGTTGGGAATGCCCCTATAAACACTGCTGTATGCTATATTCTGCACTGAGGTATAAAAATCTGCACCATACTTTTGCACCAAGGAAAAGAGAGTCCTGGAACATGACTAAGTCAGGCAAATGATGCACGGTTGCATATATTTATCTTGGATCATTTCATTTTGCTTGGAACAGCACATGACACTGAAGTGCTAACCACTGGAAATCCTGCCCGTACACACCCCAGACTTCTGAGAGCCAGTGTACACTTGATGCAGGAAAGCTGCAACAACCCAGTCTGGTGTGTTTCTTTTAAAGGCAACAGCAGCTGGGGGGGGGGGTTGGGTTGGTGTCACATGGTGCACAGGGATTAATTGTTTCCTTATGCTGCTATCCCAATTCAGATCTCTCTCGCTAATACACATACATAGAGAGGGCGATCTGCATCAGGTCCACAGTGCAGAGGTGAAAGTGCAGGAGCTGTGATGCAAACCAGGGCTCACTAGTTACTGCCCACAAGTTTTCAAGCTGATCTTTGTAGCTACAACACATAAGGGAGGGTTATTTTGTTTTTTCAAATATATCAGTATATTTGATATAGTATAGTTCTGTTTATGTTGCAGAAGTCACGATCTAATAACAGTGTATGAGCTTTTGGATGGAAAGCTTTTGTACCAGTATCTGCAGTTAGAATCACAGAGATAGGAAAGGGTTAGATGAAAGGGTCTGAGATTCTGCAGAGAAACCAAGACTTGCTGCCAGTCAGAGAAGAGATGATGGTACTACTTTCCGCTTGTGGACATAAGTAGGTGATCCATATATTTTGCTGCAACCCTCAAATGCAATTTTGCATCTTGCCTGCTACTTAAGGAACCCGGCGGTGGAGTCTTCAATGGTGCTTGTGGTCCATTCACTTAACACAAATGCAGTGCTGAAAGAAAAAGCAGCCACCCACACACTTAGCCAGGTAAAATCAGCTGTCAGTATAAGGCAGCTGCTCTTTTCCTAGGGAAACACTAAATCAAGGATGTACTTCTGATGCTATGATTTGTTACAGGGACAAGAATGCTATGCTCATCATACCCAAAGGTTTTAAAATCTGGAACATGATGGCAGATGGGAGCAAAATTACTAGGTTCTCAGGCAAAGTTGCATCAGAAATTATTCTTTATTGACTTGTCATAATGCCGTATGTTACAGGTCCAGGAGGAGTAGTGTTAGGTTTTTAAGGTGGAAATTAGAATGATCTTGTGAATATTTTATGATAAGACTTATATGGGTATCTGAGAGGCTGTGGAATATTTCCAGTCCATTCATTTTACAGGCAAGAGAATTAGCTGATGTAAAAAAAAAAGCATGAAAAATTGTGAGAAATCCAAAGCTCTGCATGACTACAATTAGTACTTGGCCTAATGCTATGGTAAAAGCTGCATCTATTGATTTGGGGGGGGGGGGTAATGGAAAGGGTATTCTTAACAATGTTCGGTGTATTTAGTCGTACTCCTGTGTGTATTGTAAACTTAATATTTTAGTAGAGTCTGCTCAAGGTTTTTAAAGCCATCATCTCTGCAGTCGATTAGAGCTAAATGATACAAGCAATGGACATTTAGGCAATTACAGAAAGAAAGAATGCTTTTTGTATAGTTATACATGTTGCATGTATTGCTGCATGCTTAGTGCATGTAGGTTAGCTGAAACAGTCTTGAAAGAGCTGCCTTTTAAGACTTTCAAGCAATTGTGGATTTTAATTACTGAGTCTTTTTCCAATAAAGAAGAAGAGGAGATTGGATTTATACCCCGCCCTTCATTACCCAAAGGTGTCTCAGAGTGGCTTACAAACTCCTTTCCCTTCCCCTCCCCACAACAGACACCCTGTGAGGTAGGTGGGGCTGAGAGAGTTCTGACAGAAACTGCTCTTTTTTCAAGAACAGCTCTTATCAGAACTATGACTTACCCAAGGTCATCCAGCCAGGTGCAAGTGGAGGAGTGGGGAATCAAACCCAGTTTTCTCAGATTAGATTCGGCGCACTTAACCACTACACCAAACTGGCTCTCCTTGATGCAGAAAACCACACAGCAATGAACATTTTTTACTACGGTAGTACATCATCACATTAAATACATAAGATATACAATCCAAAGCTGCAGAGCTGGGGAGAAAATTGCAAAAGAAATTTGGGGTTCTGCCATAGCAGAAATGTCCTGCAGTGGGAGTTGTCCTTGAAAATCCAAGGACAGAGCTGTCATGATCTGGGCTGTGCCACCAGAGGCCTACTAGGCCCAGGGAGCCTGGCTAGCAGTAGGGGAGGCTGGGCCTACAAACCCCAGAAGACGTGGGGGAGTTTTGGTGCCGATTTTGACCAATAGGGAAGAAGAGGGATGGGGAATAAAAGAACTGGTACAAGAGGAAAAGCTGTTCTTTCTTCCAAGAGGGCAGAGCTAGAAGGAAGGCTGCTGCAGGGAAGAGACCCTCATCCTGAGAGGAAGGGTGAGTAGTCTAAGGCCACTTGAGATAGTGGATTTTTATTGGACGAGTACTTATTAGATGAAAGGGTTACTTCAACAATGATAGTATGGATGCAAGATATAGGTCATACGATAGAAACATGGGCAAACACTTGGAAAACGCTGAAATACATGAGAGCTTATAATTATAAAGAAAATATCTACAAAGTTTTTCACCATTGGTATTGGTCTCCTGATAAGATAGCCAAATGCCACCCAACAACATATAACCTGTGTTGGAAGTGTAAAAGAAATGTAGGGACGTTTTACCATATGTGGTGGCGGTGCGCGAGAACAGAGAGGTATTGGAAAATGATACAGAAGATGATATTAGATATTACTAATATTAGTTTGGTCTTAAGTCCTGAAATAGCTTTATTGAACATGATTCCAGAGGATTATAAACAAAATGAGAAATATTTAGTAGTGTATATCTTAACAACCACAAGGATATTGTTGGCCAAATACTGGAAACAAGATAAATTCCCCACAAGAGAGGAAATATTGTGTAAATTGATGGAAGTAGCAGAAGTGGACAAATTAAGTTTAATTCTTCAAGGGAAAGATGAAAATGTATTTATTGGAAGATGGGAAAGCCTGTATAATTGGATTAACAAAATAGGGAAATCTTGACTCAGTGTATGGAATGATGTATATATGTAAATGATAATTAAGTGGAAAACTGATAAATAAATATAAAAAGAGAGATAGTGAGTTAGGGACAGTAAGTTTAGATGTGTTAAGGCATTTGGTTCCTTTTCTTTTCACCCCCTTACTGTTATTATTCCTGCACCTTGTTTGTTTGACCTCCTATAAAATAAACCTTTTCCTTGTACTTTGCCTGGTCCTCACGCCTATTATTCAGCCAAAAGGGAGGTCTGAAGGTCTTGGGGAGGGTGCTCTGTGCCTTCTCAAGGGATCTTAATTCCAGAGTGGTGGCAGCATCAGGTGACACCCCACCTGAGCCGTGACAGGAGCAGATAAGGAATAATGATTATATGCATTAAGTTACTGTTTACAGATCAGACACTGTCTGTTAGATAATAGAAGGTATTCAGTTCATTGAAATTTTAGGATGTTGCAAATATTATATTAGGTGCTCTAATTTACTCCTAATGATGGATACACAGTTCATCTTGCATCCTGTTCACCAGTGTTGATCAGACAGCTGATCACTCGAATTACTGTTCAGCTATTCACAGCCTGTTTTCATCTATTTGTAGGCGCAGTCTACCTGAAGCCATCAGACGCTAATTTTTAATTTCTGATCTTCTGCTGAGGACATTCGGTGGTGGTGGGGGGATCAGTAGCTGGCTCCAAGCTAATGTTGCTATGGAGAATTTCAGGAATTCACTTTGTTTAGATGCAGCCATTAATTTTTCTTATTCTCTCTTTTTCATCCTGGAAACTTTATCACATCCCAGGGTTGCTGAGATGCAGCGAATAAATAAATAAAACTTGGGGGAGGGCAGATTCAGAAGCCCAGCTGAATCTTCACCATAAGCTTGTTGGCTTGAGTGGCAGAAGAAAAGCGAGAAACAATTTCTTTCCCTTCATCTTCCTTTTGCAATGGGGAGATCAGAAGCATTGTTTCTGTTCTCATCTTCCCGTTCTCTTCTGTTCTTCCTCCCTTCATTTTGCAGTGGAGAGATCACAAGCCAATCACTTCTGATTGCCAGCTTCACCGTGTAGCAGATTTTTCCAGAAACCCATTCCCAGGTTATTTCTGAGGTAGTTTCTGATTTTTCCCAGAACTTTTCTGTGGCTCATTACAAGGCCAGGATACAGGGAAGCGATCCCCCTATCCGCTGTGAGCCGGTTTCTGATCCACAGGCTGCTGAGAACTTTAATGCAAGTAGTTAGTGCAAGCTGAACATATCCTTGATTGGTTTACAGTCTGATCATAACTGTTGAACAGGATATGTTGGACTGCAGAACGGGTTTGCTGAGAAATTCACAACATCCCTAATCCTGATCCTAATCACCATAATCTGGTGCTATGTCAGTCATGCTTAAACCATTAATTTATGTTCTCTGTTGGTCTGTGGCTGTTTAGGAAAGCAATTCCTGTGGTGGCATTTAAATACACACAATGTGTTGTTCTGGAGTAATTACTTTCAGCTAAAAAGATGGCTCTTCTGTGAACCCTCCACCCTATTTCTCTGTGTTCTTTGGCAATGGTTCCCAAGGAACTAGT